CACACACACACAAACACACCAAAAGTAGGTTACTGTCTGCTGAAAACAGGGCCCCTGGAAATGTCTGTCATTCTTAGCTATGTCATCTTCTTAGTCAGTGAAACTTTTAAAAAATTATTTCTGAAAATTGATAACTGCAGAATTCTATCTGCTTTAGGCCAGAGAGCCAAAAATAAACTATTAGATGAGGACACACTAGACTAGTAGAGATGAAACTTCATTTTATTGAATTTTTTAAATAGACATGTCAGGCCTTGTTGCATACATTGCATGCTGAGCTAATCAGGCCATTCTAGTGGGACCTGATTAGCTCAGCATGCTTGTGTTGTGCTGGGATATAACCAAGTCACGTTTAAAGGATGTACAAGAATCTATTCCCTTGGGATTTTGAAGGTACCCAGGTTCAGCATACGTGGTTCAATTCTGGCTATTAAATGATATACTGCTCTAAGAAAAAAAGATTATTTGGGTATTTGGTGATTTGTTTAAAACAACATATTGATGAGTAATGGGTACAAATGTGTCAGAACAATATATATTTGTTTTCTTTAAAATTCCTTTTGGTTTAACAATGAACAGAAAAAAATGTGTGCAGCCACACTTTTTCTAAAACAACAATAATTTGCCATTTTCTTTTTTTTTTTTTTTTTTGATTTTTTAGTTGTGTTGGACACAATACCTTTATTTATTTATTTATTTTTGTGTGGTGCTGAGGATCCAGGGCCTTGCACGTGCTAGGCAAGTGCTCTACCACTGAGCCACAACCCCAGCCCCTAATTTGCCATTTTCAATGTACCTTATAATCATCATTCTTACTCTTGAATCTTATTTTTAGACACTATAGTTTACTGTCTCTTATAGAATGTGAAAGAGTCCAAAATGATTTCCCAAATGAAAACCCTTTCGATTTTTGTATCTCTGTAAGCTCTTGTGTGAACCACAAAGCAGAAATGACTATGACATAAACATTTATTTTGTTGACCTACATAGAGCGTAAGGAGATTATTCTGAATCCTCATTGGATTTCATTACATCGAGTGTCATGGGTTTCTGTCAGGCATCATTAGAAAAGAAGGTTAGATGTAACACGTGGGTGCCCTGGCTTACCTCTTCCTCCTCAGGCCAACCAGGGCTGGCAGCTCATCTTGACTCAGACTCCTTGGTGCAAGCTCCTGTTATAGCACTTTTTATATTCTGAGGGGTCATACTGTCTGTGTGAATCTCTCCATCAGATAGGAGAAAGATAGGCATACTTTAATAATATCCATCCCCCACTAAAACAACTTGTATTTTTATGCACCTGGAACTTGATAAATGCTTCTTGAGGAAATGAATAAAACTAAAACGTTCAAGTAACAAGGCTGAAATCCTCCTTATGCAGCATCAATACCCAAACTTTCTTTTAAATTCAGTGTCTCCAGTCTGTGGGAAGATGCTCTAGGTTGTACTCTGTTGCTTCAGTGAGTTGGTGAAATTATTAAAATAATACTGTTACAATAGAAGTAACTTTAAAACACCCAAATTTATTT